ATACATACATACATACATACATACATACATACATACATACATACATACATACATACATGCATGCATGCATACATACATACATACATACATACATACATATATGATGTTTGACGGTTCAGTGTCACTCATCATGTTTTGGTTTTAACATACATACATACATAGATACATACATACATACATACACATAGATACATACATACATACATATATACATACAAACATACATACATACAAACATACATACATTCATACATACATACTATGTATTTTTTTAATTATAAAAATACTTTTTTTTTCTTTGTTTGAGTTTTGTCGTTGTCTACAGAAATGTGAAAAATAAAAAAATTGATTGAAATACAAAAATTAGTTGGTTTGTTTTTCCGATTCGATTAGTATATAAAAATTCTAAATTCGTACCCACACATACACACACACGCACACACACACACTCACACATACAAACACACCCACACACACACACACACACACACACACAAACATCCATCATCACGTACATACATTTAATATTCATCATACTAAACTAATAAATTCACAATCTTCATCAGTGTTAAAAGTTTTAAATAGGAAGTAAAAGAAGAAAGGAGAGAAAGAGAGAGAGAGAAAGAGAGAGAGAGAGAGAGAGAAAGAGACTGTTTGATATATACCATTTTCGTCAGAATCATTGCTAATATTAAGAAACTGTCAAATTATTCACGAAACACACACACAAACACATACACAAACTCAAACACACATACACTCACATATGTAACGTTATAATAAGTATGTATGTGTGTGTGTGTGTGTGTTTGTGTGTGTGTGTGTGTGTGCGTGTGTGTGTGTTTGTATTTGTATATAAATATATAAATCAACAGGCAAAACACCTACCTATTAAATAACAACAAAAAAAAACTAACAAAGCTACTTAGATGAACATTTTGAGAGAAAGCCAAGTTTCATTCAACTCCCAGCAAACACACATCACAATTGGTAAAGTTGAAAATTTTTGTAATGTACATAAAGTAAATGATAGGCAGAGATCCACTTGCATTCAAACACGGGAATTTACTTCCCATTTTATGAACTAGACCAACAACTCCTAAATTTATTGTCAGAAGTCCAGCCAATGTTAAACTCCTTGAACCTGGTGCCTTAGTTAGACCA